GAGAGGACAGGAACTCCACAAGGAGAACAGAGCCAAAAATCCTGGGCCCACAGGGGCCTGCAGGGACTGATTACTCCAACCAAGGACCTTGCATGGAAAGGACCTAGTACCCCTGTTCAGAGGAATCCCATAGGCTGTTCTTTCTTCAAGTGGGTTTCCTAGTAAAGGGTACTGGGGCTGTCTCTAACATGAACTTGTTGGCTGCCTCTTTGATCACCGCCCTCTGTGGGGTGCAACCTTGACAAGCCACAGAGGAATATGATGCAGCCTCCCTTATTGAGACCTGATAGACTAGGGTCTGATAGAAGTGGAGGAGGTCCTCCTCTTTAGGGAAACTAAGAAAAAGGGAGAAGAAAGAGGGTGGGTAGAACTGGGAAGAGACAAGGGAGGGGGCTGCAGGGGAGATACAAAGTGAATAAATTGTAATAAGTAAATAGATAAATAAATATATAAATAAATATTAAAAAAAAGAAAAAAGCTTATAATGTACATATTAAACAGATGTTAAAGACCTTAAAATAATGCAGTAAAGTATGTCTAAATCTGTTAATCCAAATTTTTCATAAACATTCAGAACTCATCTTCTGAGGAACTTATATTAGAGTGGTGATTCTCAAACTGTGGCAATAGGAGGATTGCCTGGGAATTCATTACAAATACAACTTTCAAAGATGTATTATAACCAGAAGGGAAGATTGTTTAACTTGAAGTCATGCAATTTTAAACTCTCATGTATTCTTCAAAGGAAATCAATTATCCCCAAAAAAAGATGCACCCATTTTTTAAACATGACTGCACTTGCTGAAGATGATTTTATGACTAGGTTCAATTTTGGAAAACTTTTCAGTCTGGCTGTGTGACTACTTTGAAGATTTTATTTTATGAAATTCAAACAAACATCAAGTTTTCTCAATTAAAATTTAAAATCTGAATTGAGATGAATCATGTATACAAAATATAAACAATATTTTGAAGACCTGTAGAAGAATTTTAATTCAGAGCATGGCTGCTATGGCAAGAGGTCACATCAAAAGATCTTCTAGGTCAGTGTGATCTGGCTGGAATATAAACAACACCTTTAATCCAAGAGACAGGCAAGCAGATATGAATTCAAGGCCAACCTGGTATAGAGCAAGTCTAAGGTAAAGAAAAGATTATGTCCAGGTGTGGTGGTACATGCCTTTAATCCCAAACAATGAAGGTAAAATTACTTTGTAGAAGGAAGCACCAAACTTTCAAAAGTGATGTTTAATTGAGTGGAAGAAAAAGTGACAAATCAGAGAAAGATTTGACAGAATAGGAAATGCCCAAAACTCACAAGAAGAAAGAGGACAGAGAAGCTGCTTAAGGGACTATGCAGAGAGGAGGCAGTTTTCCTGTGAGAGTTTTACAAAAAGAGGTTGACTGAGAGAATGAGCTAGACACAGGTAAAGAATGAGATGGAGCCAGAAGATTAGAAAAGATTGCTGGAGATAGTTTGAAGTCAAGCAGAACAATTCGGAGGCCGAGAGAAAAGCCAGTTTGAATAAGTAAGAGAGTTTAAGCCAGAACATCTGAGTTGAACCAGCCAGCCCAGAGCTCAGTAAGGACAAGAAAGGGTGAGCTTATTTTTTCCTTGTTTTATTTATTATCAAGTTTTTAAATTTATTTATTTATTATAATTTATTCACTTTGTTTCCCACTGCAGCCCCCTCCCTCTTCTCCCCCTAGTCTCACCCTCTCTCCCTCTTCTCCCCCTATGCCTTTTCCCTAGTTCCCTGATAGGGGAGGACCTCCTCCCCTTCTTTCTGACCCTAGCCTATCAGGTCTCATCAAGGCTAGCAGCATAATCTTCCTCTGTTGCCTGGCAAGGCTGCACCCCCAGGGGAAGGTGATCAAAGAACCAGCCCCTGTCTCCCTTACTAGGGAACCCACCTGGAAAATGAGAAGCCTATGGGCTTCCTCTGAGCAGGGGGTCTAGGTTCTCTCCTTGGGTGGAGTATCGGTCTCTGCAGACCCCTCTGGACCCAGGTTTGTTTGTTTGTTTGTTTGTTTGTTTGTTTGTTTGTTTTCGCTCTCATAGAAGCTTTATTTGTAATAGCCAGAATCTGGAAACAACCTAGTTATCCCTCAGCAAAGGAATGGATACAGAAAGTCCGGTACATTTACACAGTGGAATAGTACTCAGCAATTAACAACAAGGAAATCATGAAATTTGCAGGCAAATGGTGGAAACTAGAAAAGATCATCCTGAGTGAGGTAACCCAAGAGTAGAAAGACACACATGGTATATGCTCACTTATAAGTGGATATTAGCCATAGGATAATATAACATACGATAAACATACTAAAGTCTATAGCTCTAAGGAAACTAAACAATAAGGAAGACCCTACGGAAGAGGCTGAAACCTTACTCAGACGGGCAAACAAGATAGACATCAGAAGTAGGAGAAGACAAGGAACAGGACAGGAGCCTTCCACAGAGACCTCGGAAAGACTCTACCCACCAGGGTATCGAAGGAGATAGTGAGACTCATAGCCAAACTTTGGGCAAAGTGCATGAAACCTTATGGAAGAAGAGGGAGATAGAAAGACATGGAGGGGACAGGAACTCCACAAGGAGACCAACAGAGCCAAAAAGGGTGAACTTATTAAGCAGTAAGTCTCAGAGGCTGAAAGCATTCTAGGTTTAGGTTAGATTGTATGGAAGCTAGAAGCTTTAAGGACTAGACCTAGGTTAGCAGACAGAGGCAGTAATCCTCCAAGACACAATTGAAACAGGTGAATAAAAGGACCAAATATATCTGGCACAGGAGTCTTTTCTGAGACTGACACACCATCAAGGACCATGTATGGATATAACCTAAAACCTCTGCTCGGATGAAGCCCGTGGTAGCTCAGTAACCAATTGGTTTCCCATAGTAAGGGGAACAGGGACTATATCTGACAGGAACTCAATGGCAGGCTATTTGACCTCCCCACCCCCCAAGGGAGGAGCAGTCCTGCCAGGCCACAGAGGAGGACTTTGTAGCCAGTCCTGAAGATACCTGATAAAACAGGGTCAGATGAAAGGGGAGGAGGTCCTCCCCAATCAGTGGACTTGGAAAGGGGCAAGGAGGAGATGAGGGAGGGAGGGATTGGGAGCGAATGAGGGAGCGGGATACAGCTGGGATACAGAGTTAATAAAATTTAGCTAATAATAAAAAATAAAATAAATAAAAATAAAACCCCAAAAAAGTTTCTTTTACAAAGACATAATGCAAAATGAAAATAAAAAGCTCAATATTGATAAAAAAAAAAAAAGACGTATTGTATTGTGTGTGTTTGTCTGTATGTGTTTATTTCTATGTATTTATCTATGTTTGTGTCTGTGAACTTGTCTACAGAGACCCCAGATGATGGTGTCAATTTTCCTGGAGCTGAATATAGGTCCTCTGGAACAAAAAAGCAAGCACTCTTAACCACCAAGTCACTAATGTAATTTAAAACAATGTTTAATAAGATTTATTTATTTATTTTATGTGGATGTGTGTTTTGCCTGTATGTATATAAGGACACTGCTTTCATTGCTGGTGCTTGTAGAGTACCCAGAAGACATTTGATCACCTGCAACTGGAGTTACAATTGTCTTTAGATTTTAAACTACCATGTGGAATACAACGTGGATCCTCTGTAAGAGCAACAAGTGCTCTTCACCACTGACCCATCGCTCCAGCCCACTGTATGTGTGTCATGTTGTGTGTTCGGTTGTCCATTTAGACCAAAGGGTTCCTGAAGCCTCTGGGACTGAATTTATAGTTAGCTGTGGGCTATTAAATGGGTATTAGGAACTTAACTTGAGTCCTCTGCAAGAGTAGTAAGAGTTCTTAACCCCTGAACCGTCTTTCTAACCGCCATAATGCACTTTTTGTATGTTAGAAGTTGGTAAAATGGAAATTTTCTAATCTCTTTATATTAACAGAGATTAAATTATGGTGGCATAGTATTTAGATACCATGTAAATAAGACGCTTGCAGAAAAACATGAAGTAGAACTTAAATGTTTTTGTATATGTAAGTAAAGGCATCTTCAGTAAAGGTAAAAATAACTATAATCATTATGTGCTTGTTTTGAATTTATTTATTTATTATATTTATTTGTTTATTTATTTATCTGTGTGTTTGTTTGTTTATTGCATTACTGGGGATTGAACCCAGTGCTATAAACACACTAGGAAAATGTGCTACCATTGAACTATATTTTCACCCAACTGGTCGCTTGTCTTTTAAGATCTGGCCTCACTGTGTAGCCCCAGGTGGTATTGCACTTGCTGTGACTCATTCCACTGGGTTTCACAAGTGCACTTTGAATATTTCTAAGATATGCCTTTTTAATTCATTGAAAAAGAATTTTGTTCCTTAAGGATGATTAAATGAGACTGAACGCGTTGAAGTACATCTACACTATATTTAACTTAAGTATAATTTGAAGAAAATTATTATTAGTGTTTTCATTGATTCTTTGGAATTTACTCTTTATTTTGCAAGCTGTAATGAGACTTTCAGCATATTAAGTCTACTTTTTAAGTAATGGTTCTCTAAGTTTATATTATTAGGTCAATTAGATTTGTATTTATTTTTAGGTAGGCAGAAACTGATCATCTAGAGACTGGCTTTTGTTTTGGTTACAGAATGAATTTGAGTATACACTTACAAAAATGAATATAAGTAGTGATTCCATTATTACTATTTTTAAATATACATGGTGGTCAGGAATGTGCTAAAGTCTGAATATAACATGGTTAATTATGTTACTGTTCTGCCCAGGACCACATTGACTAAAAAGACATTTTCCTATTATGAGAAAGCTATCAAATGCTTTTGTTTGAGGTTAAACATTACTTCACTCCTGATTTACTGAAAGACGTTTAAGATTGTTGCCCGTGTTTTCTGAGGAGCATCTGGCAATTTTCTTCTTGTATATAGACTTCTCACATTAGTTTCTTATTGCTTTATTATACTTATTATTATATAACTTTTTAGTTTTCCTCTCAGGAGAAAAAGCCAACTCAGTATTAAAACGCTACCCAAGAGCCAATGGGCTTTTTGAAGAAATAAGACAGGGCAACATTGAGCGTGAATGCAAAGAAGAAGTCTGCACATATGAAGAAGCCAGAGAGGCTTTAGAAAATCATGAAAAAACTGTAAGTATACTGGCAACTTGAAACATGTTCAGAGAATTATTTACCTTTTGGTTTATTTCTGAAACCTACATTCCCAAAGTAATTTATTGAAGAAGTCTCCATGTAACATCTAATGAATAATGTTCTGTATTGGAGAAAAGAAGACCTACTTCCTTCTGTATTGGTCTGTCCCTGAGGGTCACATTTCCATAGTGTTGTGATTAGCTAGCAGATATTATGATGGATGGCAAGGTATCCAGTTCACACAAGGCTTTCTTTGATCTGGAAATTAGTGGTATCATTACCTTTCTATGTTTAATCAGAGAGAGGATGGAGGAAGGTAAGGGACACTGTTAGTGTTTTGATGTTTTATTTCTCCTGGGGTGGGGGTATAGCTCAGTGGTACGATGCTTTCCTTGCATGCAGAACCAGAGAAAATTTGTTTTAGTTCCCTATACTTTTGCGCTCCTCTTCCACATTTCACAGGACTGCTTTACTGCACTTTACTCTGACTTCAGGTTATTCAAAGATAGCAGGGTTGGGAAAACAGAAGCAAGGACATCAATTTTATAGGTCTGCTCTACAGTTGAAATTTACAACACCAAAGGTAGCTGATGAAGATACATGCCTGTGCATCAAGAAAATACTATATGCTAAATAAATGGCATGTCATGTACTATAGGAACATCACGCTCCAGGAAGAGTGAGTACATACACATTTTAAAGAAGGAGGCTTTGAAAGGACCATGCATGGGCTGGATCTCGGCCTCCTACACATATATACCTGATGGGCAACTTGTTTTTTTTTTTTGTGGGTTCCCTAGTAAGAGGAGTGGGGGCTGTTTCTGACATGGACTCTATTGCATGCTTTTCAATCAGTCCCCCCTGGTGGGACTGCCTTAACTGTGGAAGAGGATGTGCTCAGTCCTGAGGAGACTCAAAGTGCTAGGGTGGGTTAGTTGGTGGTGGGGAGGGGGAGCTCCTCTTTCCTGAAGTTTAGGGAAGGGGGTGGGGGAGACAGAAGAAGGAGGGATTGTGAGACCAGCAGGAGAGGAGGATGGGAACTACAATTGAGATGTAAAGTGAAAAACTAAGTAAATAAAGTTAAAAGATTAAAAAAAAATAAAGGAGGGTTTGATCTTTTGTTTAGTAAAGAAGGCTCTGGAGATGAAAGGTCATCATGGATATTGCTAGATTCTAGTACTCAAAGCAAAAGCAAAATCTGTTTATAAATCAACAAGCTATGATCTTTATGAGCTTTACTGGTTTTACAAGTAGTAGTTTATTGTCATGTATGTAATGAATTATGGGTTTGATTTTTTTTTTTGCTTATTTGTCTAAATTGTTCAAATACCATTTAACAAACAGCCCCTCTTTATCATAGTCACTTTATTCATCCTTCATTTGGTACCTGGTGTCCATATGTACTTCATCTATTTCTGAATTTTGTATTCTAGTTTATCCTTTTGTTTTCAGAAGATATGCTTTATGCTTTAATATAAATTAGAAGTAGTTTTAGCTTGTTATGGTATTCTACAATAGTTTGTGAAGTGTTCTTAAATACCAAAGAGACAATGGCCTGCCTTTTTTTCATGTAGATTTTAGTACTAAATTTCTAGCTTAAGAAAAATATTTTATCAGTATTTTATTGGGATTTTTTTTTCAGTTTGCACTCCTTTCCAATTAATCTGCTTTTGCCATCATAAGTAGTAACTTCATCCATATACTTGTTGCCTCTTTACATCAAAACCATCTAAGTGACTCCACAGGCACATGTATTGAAAGTTTAGTTCCCATGTACTGGAAACTTTAGAAGGTAGGGCCTCAGTGAATGAAATAAGTCACTGAGGGTGTTTCTTGGAAAGGTATCTTCTCTCTGGCTCCTCCTGTCTCTGCTGCCTGACCACCATGAGGTGAATAGCCTCTGCCACATATTCCTCTTACCATGCTATTCTGCCTTGCCTCAGACTCAAAGCAGTGTGTTCAACCAGCTATGCTTTGATACCTCTAAAATCATAAGCAAAATTTAATCACCTTCCTGTAAACTGTTGATCTCAAGTATTTGCCACAGCAACAGAATGTGTGATTAAGACATCACTCCTACTATCATAAGTATATTTTAGCCTTTTTACATAATTAAAAACTTTACATTCATTTGTTCATTAGTTACTTGAGAGTTTTGTACATGTAGTCCTATTCCCTACCTTCCCCAACTTAAGCAAGTTCCATCTCCCTTTCCTTGCCCACTCAACTGTTTCCTCTTTATTTATATATTTTGTAGGTAAAGGAAGGGTCACATGCCAGTATGTCGGAGGACAGTTGCACAAGTCAGTTCTTTTTTTTTCCATCATGTGAGTTCTAGGACTTGAACTTGGCTTGGTGGCAGGTTCTTTTACCCATTTATTCATCTCACTGATATCTACATAATTTTTTAAATGGCAGGCTAGAATGACATTTTAAATTTTCTTCACTATGCATGGGATTTCGTGCCTGTAGAAGCAGTGAGGATGATTATGAATTAGCCTAGGCTATGAAGTGAGTTCCAGGCTGGTCTGGTCCGTATTGGTAAGAACCACTCTCAAAATAAAACAAAGCAACAAACATCTCTTCTCTGCAATGGTTTTATAGCTTCCTTAGAAAAAGTCAGGTTTCAGAATTGGAAAAGGGGAGGAAAGGGAAGGGAAGAGGGATGGGGACTACAACAAGCATGTAAAGTGAATAAAAATTTTTAAAAACAAAGAATTCAGAATTATACATAAAGTACAATTGTTTCCATCCTGTATTATCACTTCTCTACAGAAAAAAAAAATTTGTATCTCCTGTGACTCTACCATTTATTGATTTTATTGTGGCTTTATCCTGCTTCCTTATGCATAATACAGAGTACATCCCCTGTCTTAGGGCTTTGGCACTTGTTTTCTTTTCCAAATGGGAATGTCTGAGTTTGCTGATTGCACTCAGGTCATTGCACAACTTCACTTTCTCAGTAAGGAAGTATTCTATCTCCTGTGGGGTTTTTTCTCCCAGCACTTATGACTATCGGAAGTCAATTTGTTGTATTTGTTAGTTGTTTGCTTTCTTCACAAGAGTATTATCCCTATGACAACACCATTTCTCATTTGTTTGTTTCATAGCTATGAAGTTCTGGCACATAATGAAGCCTAAATTAATACCTGATAGAAGAAAGAAGTAATAGATTGTGATATTACAAAATATATTTAAAACATCAGAAAAGCGATTTAAACTTTGTTCATGAGTTAAATGAGTGATGTGGACCTAAAATAGATTTTATTAATATTAGTTTGTTGCATTCTCTATGGTTTCAAAGTCTGTCATACAAATTTGTTTACAGGATTAAAACAATAGCATTTATAATAGAGTGCGTTAGAAGGCATTTAGGTCAACTATTTCAGAATTGTGTTTGCAACAAGCTAAGGTTTTAGAGTAATAGGGAAAAAAAACAAAATAGCTTTTGAGATTTGCTTTATCCTACACTTATCTTTTTGTATACTAAAATTTCTTACTTAAAACAGATTTTGTGACATGTTCATAATCCTCAAATGTAACTATGAATTTAGTAGATAGCATTCAGTGGAATATTTATGTGTAACACTTTACTTAATTTGGTGCAAAATTCTTCTTGATTGGGAGAAAAGACATGCTTAGTGGTCCTCATTTTCAGCATGTAAGTAGGTCAGTTTTTTTCAGTTATGCTAAATAACAACCATGTAACAAATATAGGATATATAATATATATTATATATGCATATATAATATGTATAATTTTAATTATATATATATATATCATGGTTGAGGTCTGGTAGAAAAGCTGACTTACACATGAAAATTTATATAAACATTTAGTACAACCTGTTTTCGGGAGGGGGGCCATTTCGGGTCTAACCCAGAGAATTTCAGATTCTGGGCAAGCCACTAAGGTACCACTAACTACCTTCTAAATTTTCTAACCTGAAATTCACAGCATTGTGTTTCTTTGTGGTGCTAAGGATTAAATTTAGTGGCTTCATGCTGGCCAAGTGCTTTACTTAGCCATATTCTATTTACATCTTAAATACGTAGATTTTTGTCCTCTATACATCAATAAAATAGAAGTAGAAAAAGCTTTCTGAATGTCATTCTCAAACCTCAGAGAATCAGATAGATGTGGTGTCTCAGCTCTGCCACCTACTGACTTGAAAATACTTACAGTGCTTTTGCTTTTGTTTTGGTTTTGGTTTTGGTTTTAATTTTTTAGAGAGTGAATTATTTATTTTAACTTGTTTATTATTATTTATTACAATTTATTCACTTTGTATCCTGGCTAGAGCCCCTCCTTCATTTCCTCCCAGTCCAACCCTTCCTCCTTCCTCCTCCTCTATGTCCCTTCCCTAGTCCACTGATAGGGGAAGACCTCCTCCCTTCTATCTGACTCTAGCGTCTCAGGTCTCATCAGGACTCTACCCAACAGGGTATCAAGCAAATGCTGAGACTCATAGCCAAACTTTGGGCAGAGTGCAGGGAATCTTATGAAAGAAGAGGGAGATAGAAAGACCTGGAAGGAACAGGAGCTCCACAAGGAGAACAACAAACAAAAAATCTGGGCCCAGGGAGTCCTGCAGTGACTGATGAGTCAACCCTAGAGAGGACCTAGACTCCTGCTCAGAGGAATCACATGGGCAGCTCAGTCTTTATAGGGGTTTCCTAGTAAGGGGAGCAGGAACAGTCTCTGGCATGAACTTGGTTGCCTGCTTTTTGATCACCTCTACCTGGTGAGATGGCCTTACTAGGTCCCAGAGAAAGGGAATCCAGACTTGCAGTGCTTTCAAGTAAATATTTCACCTTTATAGATGTTAATTATGCAAACATTTTTTAGCTGTGAGATGTGCTGTATAGTGCCTACAACAGACAAAGTCTAAAATAAATATATTTTATCCAAGTTTCAGAGGGTATATTGTAGCCATTTTTAATTAGGACTCATATGTCTGCCAGATAATTTCTCCCCTTTATTCTGATTTAATACA